GCATTACCCCAAAGCAAAATGCCGTATGTCATTAGACTGTGAAAGTATCTACCTATGTGTGTGTCCATGGCACCCGCAATGGTTTCCCTAGTTCGGGGCTATGAGTGTATGCGTTGTTTCTTTGCTGTTGTTAGATGTAATCCTAATGAAAGTAAATTTACTAACTTGCCACTCCTAAAGGTAGAATATCTTCATCAGATTTGAATGAGACCACTACAAAACCTCCTTCTTTAAAGTCAGTTGAAAATTAGTCAAAATGGCTCTGCGTTTACGGTTTAGCGCTTTAACATTAAAATTTAATATGTGCCATATATAGTATTTAGTAGCAGTAGAGCTTCTTGTGAGAGTTCGTCCAGGGAAGTACTGCCACCTTATCTATTTCTGCCGGCAAGCAGTAATATCAGCATTACTGGGTTCCGATTTTAAAGGTTAAGGGTGCTGGTTTAATAGGCACTTGTCAACTTATATCTCAGGGTGACAGGCGCAGTAGCAGTGCTTCTCAGATCTTTGCAATTTAAAGCTCTGAGTGGCACTATAACTGACAGGCGTGTAGCTTACCATAAGACGCACGACTTGTTCGTCGCATCACTTGATATTATTAAAAACGTTTTGGGAGGTACAATGCCTACAGATACACATATACTTTGGCACCAACAGCGTGTACGTCCGTGTACGCATTCCGTGTTCAAATAGTGTACACTAGGCGTCGCTACGAAAAATCTATGAACGAACTTACCGATTTGCGTGCGGGGCATATTCAATGTGATATGAAAAAGGCGCCTATTCCGCCGCCAATTTTGTTAGACTTGCATTTTTTTCATTGTTATGTTAACATCAGAAATTGAAGCAGCCACAATGTATACCTAAGCTTGATGTGATGCGCATAAAGATGATGATACCTCTATCAAAGTCCTGGAATGATTTAAAACAAAAATCAAAAAAGTTAAATAAACTATGGTTAATTTGAATCCAAGAAAGAACCAAAGGATGATATGGTTTTGGTCTACCGGGAAAGTTGATATGAGCCCGAGAGTGCCCATATACGGCGACTTAATGCAATCGCCTATAAATCCCAAGTGTAGCAATGCAATCACGCGTTTGTATCGAAAATCGCGCGAGTGTGTAAAGGTAGACGATCAACGACTGCATTGCTATTGCATCGCGTTTGCATCGCTGCTAAACTTCGCCGTGTGTAGACGCTCTATGCTCTAAAAAGGAAATAATACTGGCCACTCTTTTAAAATACCGTCAACTTGTCACAGTAAAATTTGAATAATGAAAACCCCGAATTTGTACAAATCATATTTGTCAATCAAAGTTTACAAAATATTTATTAAGATATACTCCTGTGTTTGTATCATTTATGAGTAACTTCGCTGGAGGCTTACGTGGACACTCACTAATAGGTTTCTAAGCGAAACATTTTATATTCATTTAATAGTTTTAATACGGTACAGGTAAGTGAAAAACCACTGGGTATTATCTAAATTATTATTTTGACACGATGAACGTGTTAAAACACTAGGTACTGTTCACATCCTCAAGATGAACCTAAGCAATACCTATCATCTGTAGCTCCTGGCTAAGACTCAGAATTCTATTATAGTCAGCGGCGGTAAGCACCAAACTTTTCTCAAACTACATTAGCATTTTACAGTACACTTATGTAAATGGTAAGAGCTTACTTACCATTAACACAAGAACCAAGAATTCCATTACTTGTTGTAATGCTTTTTAGAACAATGTTATTATAATTGTTTCTCTACCGGCTCAAAAACTCTAATCTTTCATTCGTTGCACTCATCATCGACTACGAGATAAAAACAGTACATCTTAACGTGTCTATTAATAGAACGTGACTAAAAGATAACACAGCGCAAAACTTAAGCTTAGTTTGAGATCTTGTCTCCAATATTTTCCCGTCGAAGTAGGCAGAGACAACAGCCTTCCACTTGCTACGATCCTCACGTACATGTAGCATTAGAGCATCAGTATAAGTTTTACTGCGTTCCGATATTGAAGGGTAAGGGTGCTGGTAAATTTACAGGCACGTGCGGCTTGTTAATTTATGTCTCAAGGTGATGGGCGCAGTGACAGTGCCCCTCAGATCTTAGCGATATAAAGCTCTGGCTGGAACTCTTAGGGACAGGCGTGTAGTTTATCATCAGGCGCAAGACTTGTTCGTCCCTTCACTTGATATTATAAAAAAAAACTTCCACTCAATAACAAGCACCAGTACTTTCATACATGCTCCGCAATTAAGGGAACTCTTGACCTGTTATTATCATATCAAATACTTATTGTTCATATTCTGATATACTACACGTATTAGTGTTCACGCATTGTTTTACAAATTGTTCTAATTTTAGAAGCTAATATGTTGTCGGACATCGATTTTATGCAAGGATTACAAGAACGTCGTCTGGATACTGCTCCAGAGCCCGTGTATAACACAGACATTGATATCACCAAACCAAATATTTTACAAGAACGTCCTTTCCGAAACAGGAGAAGCCCAGTCATTGTTGAATTTGGTAAAAAGGAAATTGTCGCTTTATCAAATGTCACAATATATATTAAGTGTAGCATTTGACCTTTTTACGTTGAGGATCAAGTATTCTAGTTTTCTCGCCCAAACGGCTGCAATAGATGTAACAATTATGTATGACACACGTGAAAGAAAATTAATGAACAGTAAAAGAAAGAAGAGAAAGATGACAGTAAGTGAACAGAACTCGAAATTACAATTGTTGACAAGAGTAAGTTTAAAGAACTTGTTGATCTGTGTAGTATGAACAAGAATGGAATAAATGGAGGTGATATTGTATGTATATGTATGGTACTGTATTGTATGTATAAAGGTAGGAATTACATAACTGCAGTTCTACACACCTTTATCTAGTCATGTAGATAGAATGAGTTGAAAAAGGCAGAATGTTCATCAGGACATTCAGGTCCCATCCCTAATGAATGCAGTAGTGAATGTCGGTTATAGTAAAAAAAGTGCAAAAGTAGAATGATTGATGTGACATTGTTGCGTAATACCTGTGTATCTTATAGACTGAATGAGAAACAGTTTATTAACTAGTGTAGTGGTGTGAACGACGATGTATTGACAAGAAAGAAAAAAATATATTTCGATGGTCTCGAGACATAACGACACTAATGTAGTGCAAACGTATGGGCAAAAACTTGGGGATGTCCTTAAAAATGCCAAGACAAAAGTAGCAAGAATATAGATGAAAGCTTCAACCGAATATCTATGACTGCAGTAGGTCCAAAAAAATTAAGATTATAATTCACTATATACCTGTTTTGTCGATATTTTACTATCAATATCATAGATTTATGTCGCACTGCTTTTACAATAGAATTGGAACTCAAAATATAGAAATTCAAGATTATATTATTGCTGTCATTAGAATATTGTAAGAAATAATTATCAAATATGTACTTAACTCAAAATGAGACAAACTTTTTGTGAACTCGTTCTGAACAGAACAACCCTTACTCAAGAGGATGAAATTCTTTTTCCCTTTTATTTTTAAATATATTTGGCAAATAGGAAATTATTAGGACGTCTGTAATAAACTCATAAATCTTAATAATCTTTGACAGGAAATGATTAAATGGTTTTTCATCGATTTTGAAAAAAATACACTTCTTGAGTTATACATTATTGTATTAACAGTGTGATTTGTCAAAATCATTTATAATGAAGGAAAAACAACAATTATCTGTAATCAATCTTGTAATAATAAGATGGTATGATCACAGTTACAGCGTGAAGATGCTGTAGTTTTGTGGCAATTTGAAATCTCTCCGAAAATATTTACTTATTGGTTTCGCATAAAACCAACCTGAAATTGTATTACTGCTAAACCCGATAAATTAAGAACAAATATGTCTTTCAGCTGATGCTCGCGACATAACATCAGTGGTAATGTCTATGATGATGGAGGTCGGTATGAATATAATGAAGATGCGAATGTCGTTCAATGCTCATAATGACAGAGTAAAGTTGATGCAGAAATGCGCGAAAGCTATTCAAATGTGCTGCGAGAAATTCAGAGTCACCAATTTTCCAATAGCGACTTGTGGTTCCGTATTAACCTCTATGATTAAATCGGGAATTATGGACGACGTGAGTTATTATGTTAAGGTGTATTTCTTTGACAAAATATGAAAGATTTTACGGCCAGAATATTAAGAAATTTTAGCCATGTGCTGAAGTTGTACCAGAACCTAATGTCATTTAGATAAATTTAATTTAAATTTATATTGGGCAACATAGTAATAGTGATAAAAATTTGCTTTATAAGTATTTTAAATAACCGAAATTAATCTATCCGAATGAAATAGAACAATGCGTCAATTAATAATACCAATATAA